CACCTCCAAGAAAAACAGGCAAGCTTGGATAACGAGAGGTTACATTTCCAATACAGCTATACAGCTGATCAACAAAATCAGACGAAGAGTTCGGCGGTCGATAGCAAGCACCTACTAAAATGAACGAGGAAGCAACCTTTACACGCACCCAGATTATTTCAATGTTGTCATCCATTAGAATGGGAACAGCAGGCAAATTTCTTTTGACAGCAATAAGGACTCCACCACCACGTGACTGTATCCTATCGTTTCTAAAAATCGCAAAGTCATGGTTGAGTACTAACTCATTATTCAGTATATTATCAGAAAGCCAATCTACGAGGCGTTTACGTTGTATATCAGCCAGTAGGTTACAATGTCGTAAAAAATCTGCGCCGATAATAGGATAAGGCACGTCCGCGACGAGAAAAACCCAGCGGAATACTCAACGCAGTCCGATGTTGAGGGACAAAGCGTGTTCACCGTAAGTAGCGATTGGAGTCTTATTGGCTGCGTGTAGGGTGGTAAGTGTCTGCCTGCCTTTGGTTTCAACGGCAGAAACCGGTAGTACGCACACCTCCGCGCCGGTGTGAACCAAAAATCCCAAACTGGAGCCGCGATCAGTTATGAAGAACAAGCGGCTGATCTGCGTACCTCCACCACTCGCCGCCTCTGGTGGTGGGTGCAGGCATTTCCCGAAGCAGAGCATGGTCCTACGCAGTTTCGGGCTTGGTCGCCGAAGGTCCGATAGTACCAACAAATATCTGAGTGCTTTAATACTGCTCGGGCTTTGGAGGGCGAACTGTATCGGGGGCGGGACGTGGATCGCTGGCGATGTCCCGATCGTGAACGTGAAGTGAGCACGGCTACTTGGGCGGTGAGGGCCTCAATCGCTTGTTGGATATCCGTGCTAAAAGAATCCTCCGTTGTTTCGGAAGCAGAAATGTTCGCCGATGCACCGAGCGGATGTGATTGCATGGCCGCAATAGGAGCGACTTGCGGTGCAGCGACTTCCATCATGGTGTCGAACAACTGGGCAAGCTGAACTAATGCGAGTCCCGATGCAGAAGTAAGAACCAGTCTTACGTTGTTAGGGAGTCTGTGCAAGAAAAGCTCCCGCTACAGGGCGGAGTCGAATATCGCTGCCCGCTCTTCAAGAAGTTGTTGAAGACGTCACAGTAGCTGGGATGGTATGCGATCGCCCAGCTCTTCAGATGTTAGCTGCTGGAGCCGTCGACGCTCGGATGCCGAGGTGCGTTTGATGAGCTCAGCCTTCAACGTGTCGTACGGGTTAGTTGTTGGAGGTTCGAGGATGATGTCTCGAATATCAACGGCAGTTTCGGGAGGCAACGCCGCTACCACACGGTGAAACCTCTGTGCTTGCGAGGTGATGTGGCTGGTTGTAAATTGGCTCTCCACTTGCGGGAACCAAAGTTGTGGGTCCGCTGTCCAGAATTTGGGAAGCCGGAGCGTGCGGACGACGGAGATGTCCAGCGACGTTGCCTCATCGGTTGCCATGACGGAGGTGGCTTTCGGTCCATGTCCGGGTAACCAATTGTAGGGAACAAAGTTCCCTGCCTATTTCTATTTGCAAAATTATATACACGTCCAGTCCGGTAGGGAGCTGCCGGTGTTCTAAGCTTCGCCTCTAAACTCATTCTCCCTTGTCCACCTCTCCTTCCTTCGTCCGAACAGCCGGTTGCTACAATAACTTGGGTGGTCACGCGGGGTGCCTTGAGCTTTCCCGTCGCCCGCTTTCCATCCCTTTTTGACTTACAGACATCCTGCAACTTACTTGACAACTTTACGTCCTCCCTCTCTGACTCCACGACGTCACATCTGTCAGCTGTTCCACCGCCTTTTTACAGCGGAGCTGTTAAGGGCTAGGTTCCCCAGGATCGTGTCCGGTATGTCGACACAAACCTACCTGAACAGCTACCACCATCTATAAGTGACGGCGGCAAGCATACAACCAGTATTGTCTCCGCCGTCGCTCGTAGATGGTGGCAACCTTTCCAGCTGTGGTGGGAATTCATCGTAGGAAACAGCGCGAAAAACAGACGACGAGGAAGAAGAAGCACACAGTGTGTCGAGTACAGCTCCGCTGGTCTTCCTTCTTCACAAGAGTGGAAAGGCTGAACGTTTTTGTATATACGCTGTACATAAATTTTATTCTGTACCCCGTCTTTTAGTATACTTATCTGAAGAAGACCGTTTGGTCGAAACGTCGTACCCCCCTTTTTTCTGGCACTTCTTTTTCCCTTCATATTCCTAGTGCCCGGTAGAACCTCAAAAACACCAGGTCACGGGACGTCAACATACGTCGCGCGACCTAAACACCAATTCAGTTTCCCCACTATATTTTGTGGGAAACGCTCGGACGGACGGACAACACTTCTGAATTGGGTGTAGCGTTTAAAAGCATTTCATGCTTCAAAATAACTTTTGCACACACTGCTTGTGCTGCACCTATATACGTTTGAATAATACGATCTACTGAATTTAATAAACGTTATGTTTTACGACGCGCCAACTTTGTTATGTTCAGGTAGATGGCAATCGTGTTGTGTGAGCATTGAGACAATAGCATCGTACCATTCCCGATTGCTTGTTACCGTAAAGCCGAGGTAAAACGGCTTTATCCAAAATTGAATTGAGCTGAAAAAGTAATTTTAGGCACGGTGCCTTTTTGGAAATAGAGCGTATTACGATTGTAGGAGGAGTTATGGACACACTGTTTAGGAACAAGGCCCGCGTATCTGATTCACGTAAAGCAACATAAAACCAATTATATATAAAAAAAATGTAGCAAACGGATAAACTTGGTGGAGCAAACGGCTGCGCGCGCAAATGCAACCTGCAAGGATAGAACTTTCGCTTGAGGAGGCATAGCCTCCCCTATACTCACAAAGCCTGACAGTTTGACGACGGAGCCATAAAGTGCAAGGTCGCCAATTTGTCGCGCAAGGATTTGGTAGCACAGTGCATCAAAGAGCCATTTCTCAGGAAACCTGGACGTCAGCGCGCAGCTTTTGCAGTGGCGAGGACCCGAAACACACTTGTTCGCTCGGGACAAATGTGTTTCGGCGTCTCGCCGCAGCACGGTGCAAGTCACGGGGCTCTCCTTTGATCCGTTGTCTGCCGCTCTACCTTTTTTTTTTTTATTTCGGTGGCCGCTTCTCGTGGCGATCTGCAAGGTTTTGTCAGTTAATAAGGGGCTATGGAGGAGGTTATCTCTCTCCCTCAAGCCGCAGGGGTTCTCGGATCGATCGCAACATTTGGCTGTCCTCGTGCACCACGGGAAAAAGGAGTCAGAGGCTTTGTTCGTAAGGAGTGTGTCTCTTACTCAAGTAAACACAGTACACGAGAGAAAGCGAGAATGAATTTAATATGTTCTCTTTACCTAGTAAGTCCGAAATATTAAATTTTCTTGTGGTATAAAGAAAGCCTACTGCCGGCAACTGCTACGTACAATACTACATTCAGTGATCACTGCTGGGAGCATGACGTAGGTAGGAGCAGCAAAACATCTTAATCTTCGCTGCTTAAATGCGTGACTTAGTTAGGCAGGTCGTGTTTGATTAAATAGGCGTGCTTGTTTTTCGCCAAACAAATATATTTAAAAACGATGGTAATTTTGCCCCTGCTTCATTGATTGCCAAGTATGCTTACCCTGGATAAAAAAAATTAAAAAAATAAAAATGATTCAATCGATGCAAATGGCGTTCACTTCCAAGAAAGATTAAGGTAAAGCGTGATCCACTAACCCCTCCCCTTTCCAAAACAAACAAGCAAACAAACAAAACGCACGAAAGTAAATTAAGCCGCACAAAGTACGGTTTAAACAGATACAAGTAATAGTAATGCTATTTTTAGGGAGAGTTTAAAAAATTGAGGTTTATTGCGTTACCAACCTGTAAATTAGTAAATGGATGTTTTTTGAAATGACAGCGTGTCAGGCCCACGTGTTTCCAGGTAATTTCGCACAAAAGTGCAATGATAGGAAAAAAAAAGAACATTTGGCTTGCTCGAGGGACAGTGTATGTATCCCATCAGAACCGCTCTTAACATCACAAAACATTATTAACTAGATACTCTATTTTTGCGTTGTAAGCTGCACACGAACTCGGAAGTTTCGTTTTTAACTAAAAAGTGCCCTGAACAGCTACGGCCGAGTAGACGACATTATGGGCAGCAAACACGATAGTCCCGCTAGCGGTGTACTGTGTCCGCACATTAACGCATTCACGATCGCTGGGAAAGCGCGAAGAAAGTCGGTCTTCACGTGACTAGCTCCAGCCAATAGGGGGCGCTAATTTCTAGTCGTCTGCTACAGACGCCTAGTTTTTTCTCGCACGCTTGTTCAGGGCATCCAATATCTGACCAATGTTTATCGATGTCTTACTCTTTCACTAATTCAAATAAAAAGAGTGGCGAAGGTTTAAGGGCGACACAACCTAGAATAGCCTGTGGAAAGCAGTCCGCCATTGTGCCGGCGAGGTCAGGCGCAGACACACAACACCAGTGCTGCGTAAAATTTGGCGGGCCTAATGCTCAGTGAATCTGTCAAAGCAGCTCGGCGTTGGACTTGGCGCTAAAGCCACCCGAGCGCTATGGCATTACGGGAACGGAAAAGGGACTGTTCACAGTCTTTGACTTCTCTAGGGTGTGCTCGTATGGTACGCTTCATCAACAGTTCTTTTGGCTTCCGTTGATATCTATCCTCTTTGTGCGAAGAAGAGACACAGTTCTCAAGATTCTCAGGCTCCCTCAGGCGAGCAGCAAGAGGGTGTGTGCCGATTTTCAAACTGGTCGACTGTATACTAACTAGAAGACCACGTTATATGGTTAAGGAAGATAATAAAAATTCAGGTTGAAATTTGTAATTGAATTGGTGACATTAAAGTATATTTCTTTTAGAACGTGTCACGATGGCTAGTAGAGTAGTGACTGAAGAATTATTTTACTTAACTGTCCTAGCCTCTAAACAAATAAAAATTAAATATTTAAGTTTAACTTACCCGCGGGAGGTGTCGGCTCACTTGTGTTTGGATCACTTTCTTGATCTATCTCGCACCCTCCTGCAATAAAATATAAGATGTTTATGAGAAATGTTAGAGTAAAAAGGTGGTGTTCACTGAAATAGCAATAGTAGAAAATATTAGGCTGACACGGTACAAATAGTGTCGTGTCAGCCTGTAGTAGCGAATATGAGCATCTGATCGCTTTTATTAACAAAAGAAATAAACTTGATGCTCTTGGTCAAAAACAGAAACAACTTTTCCCATATTCTCCTCCTCGTCCTCTTCCTCCCCCTCTCCCCTCCTCCCCTCCTTCTCCAGTTACGCTGACGGCGACGCCGACACCGAGGCTGCAAAACACGGGAACGAGCGCCTGAGAGCTTCTCACCAAAACAAAGACGGAAAGTTTAACAATGATAAGGTAATATACACCTTATGAAATCGTGAAACCGCGTAAAAAAGAAAGAACAAAATAAATCGTTTTAGGAAAAATCTACAGCACTCAATGTTCGAAGCGGAATTGATAAGAAATGAATGAAATTCCCTCATAAAATTAGCGGGTAATTGCGATTATTATTTTTCCCGCAATAATAAGCCTATTCATAATCTGTCGGTCTGGCGGTAGGTAGTTGTAATTGTAATTTAATTACAATTCGTCGGTGATTTGTTCAGGCACACGATTCTAACTACGCACGGCATGTGCGCGATTGAAAGTGGAGTTGTGGTTGTCTTCTCAGTGTTAGCACAAAGCTGACTGTGATTTCAGGCGCGAGAGTTAATTTAGTCAACGCAGTTTTGGGAGCAAACTCAACCAAACTTGACATAAACATCGGATGGTCGGCCTGGCCGAACCACGCTGATACAGAAAACTTTCCAGACTACTGATTATGACTTTGCTCGACTGGCGATACACAGGGAAGGTTGTGTCAAAAGTTTCTTAAGAGGACGCCGTGTATTTCAACTAACGGGAGGCGGAATGCCTGACAGCTTCCTGTCGTGTAAACATGCATACAGCGCAGGAGTCAAACATACTTCTTCTATTCGAGTTGCTCGCCGTTTATGTGCCGTGTGATATGCCGTTTACGGACGAAACCACTCCGTCCACTCGACCGCACGGAGGAGCGGCATACAATCTACACCTATATTTGTTTTCAACTCAGGAACCATCGTAAAAAATAAAAAAAGTCCGGGTGCTCGCGAAACATGACCAAATTACTCCTTTATGTACATAATTAAGATATAAGTGGGTGCATTTCAGATAATATATTTGTTCTCTATCAAAGGGTACACGATTCAAACGCCAAAAGCAACGACTCTTCCTCCGAAAACCAAATCTTGTAAGAGATACTGTACGCGGCGTATGAAGAGGGCGCAGAACTTAATTTTGTTTAGGTGAGAACGTGTACACCAACTTGATGACCAGTTGACGTTACTCAAAGTATGACGTTTTACTCTTGCAGGTTTTCATTATTGTTTTCGGATTGTCTCCCGCAAGAAGGATGTATTAAAGTTTGCTGGAGAAGTGAAGGCGCTCTCCAAGTGCAGCCAGCGGGGCTACCTTTGAACGATAAGTCACGTTGGCTTAACCTGAGGAAAAACCTATCCACTCAAGGCACTCACACATTTTGTTTTGTTACAGGCAGTCTGCACACAATCACATTGCTTTGTCTATTGCGTTATAACACAAGTATCTGGAGCTATAGCTACGCTTTAATAAAAGCAAAGATCCCGACGTTTCGGGGCCAGCTCCGGCCCTTGATCGCGGGCGACTATTTCTGTCCCCCCGAACGGCCTGCCCACAAACGCGAACACCCCCGGGTGCTCTCCAGATTATCCCTCTTACCCCTGAAACGTTGCTGCTGGGAAGGGTCCCCGTCGACCGGTTTACATTGCCACGTGTGCACTGAATATGCCACGACTCTAACAGGAGTCGCTTCCGCCAGTTTATCTCCATTCCGAGGATGGCGCTGTTGTCGAGGTCGATGGAGTGTTTGTCTTCTTGACTTGTTCAGCCAACGCGCTTCCCTCCACATTTTACTTCAGGATGTCCTAGCGGTGGCAGCGCGGGCGCTCTGGATAGTTCCTTGTTTCCCCAAATTACGACGCGGGGCAGTTACCGCAGGGCAATTTGTAAGCCAGTCCCTGTGCCCTCTCCCTCGGAAGGCGATCCTTCCGTAGAGGGAGAAGGCCGCCGATAGTCGAGACTGGCTTGTGTGAGACCGCTATGCCGTACCGTCGTAGTACTGGGGGAGAACCTCGCTTGTGCCTTTGATGAGGGTACACACACGCGGGTGGAGGGAGGGGCGGCGCCTTGGATTGAAGGGGTGCATCGAAGTTCCTTGATTATGTTGCTTACGAATCTAGCTGCGTAGCCACTCTTCCGGAGGACTCATTTTATTGTGTCGATCTCTTTTCGGAAGGTCTCCTCTGATGAGCAGACCGTGATCGCACGCACGTCTGATGAGTGCCGAAGCCACGGAAAACTTATCTGTCCTAGGGTGGCTCGATGAAAAGTTCATGTATCGGCCCGTGTGTGTCGGTTTCCTATACACATGGAAGTCCAGGCGGCCGGAACCTCTCGCTGCACTGACGTCTAGGAATGGGAGACAGCCGTCTGAGTCGTGCTAGATCGTGAATTGAATAGCCGGCTCGATGGAGTTCAGCTGTGTGTGGAGAGGCAGGAACTGCAGCGCCTCGCCTGTCTTGCCCAAAGCTATATACACAGAGAGCGACTTTCATCAAGAGGAGCGGCGTGGTACCCAAGAATAAAAGAATAAACTCAAAATAAAGCGCCTCATATATCTCCAAAACAGGCGCTGATGCTTCCTGCGGAGTATTTTTGTTGTTCAGGTACCAATGAACCTTAGTATAAATGTAAGATTCCGTTCTCAAGCATTTTGGGTGACTGGTGCGAGAGTGACGGCTGTCGCCATCTTGAGGAAGAAAATTATTTCCTTCATACAGGTGAACCACGATACTTCTTCAGTTCCTCATGAGTGAAAACCGCCAACAGTGACTTACCTCCTTCACTGAGCTCCAGGTTGGCGAGGGTGTCCTCTGGAACGCATATCCTATGTAGCGTTTTTCGAATGTCAGGTGCCGTACTGTCGTCCAGAGGGTGCCTCGCTAGGACGCTCACGTGGACCGCGTGAGGGAGACAGAGCCCGGGTGCAGCCGAGCGGCCCGCCGTGTTCTCGCAGCGATACACCACGAGGTAGGTTTCATAGTCCGTGGCGACCACGGTAAGAGTTTCTGCATGTTTCATAAGGTCGTATGAGTAAAATTTGGTTAAGATTGGTATGTGTTCTAGAGTTCAGGTAACCCTTATAGCGTACATTCTCTGCGCTACTGCGGTCCAGTGGTCAAGCAGTCACATTGGCTAAAAGAGTGGACGGCTCTTGCTAATTACTGTCTCATTGTTGGGGACGTTTGAACTAAATGGCATAAAACGCTAGGGTATAGATGTTCAACTCATCTGGTACTAAAACCGTTATGTGTCAATACACATCAAATTTGCATGAGCCGACGGATATATTCCTTTGTAGCTGCCCATGCTGCGCATGTATCCAATGAGGCAGCGTTGGATTCAACTTAATTAGGCGTTTGCACACATTAATGTTTTCGGCAGCTCATTTGAACTGAGAGTAGTATATTTTATAATAAGGAGAGGCGTTTGCAGAGACATGGGGAAAAAAACAAAACAAAGGATAAAGTCGGTGAATGGTGCTTTGAATTCTTGAGGTTTGTAAGACGGCAAAGCAGGGCAAACACCCACGGCGAAACCATACGAAACAAAACAACTCAGTCAAAACGCATCACGGCAGTGTAGTGCTATGTTTATTGAGCACTGTTTCAAAATCTCGAGGGTGAAAGAATATGCGTCAAAAGAGAACGCATCAATACACCCTGCGCGTAAACCGCGCAGCCGCAAAAGAGCCCCTATTGGAATTATGTGGTGTTTAGAAAGCCTGTGTGAAATGCAGCACTAAGAAAAAAATTCAAATAATCATTGAGTAGTTGCTTTGTGTACCAAGTTAACAAACAAGATTTTTGGTTAGATGATCCATCTAAACTATATTTTATACGAAGCACATGTATTCTAATAGTTCTTTCACGTGATGTATCTTAATATATATATATATATATATATATATATAACGAAAGTGGAGGAGATCCAGGAAAGGCCTTTCTTTACTGCACCGACGTTTCAAGCGGGGACCGCTTTTCTTCAGGGTGAATGGTTGTGAAATGTCCTCTTCTTCTTGTTGATGTTCATGTGGAAGAGGAAGAGTTACTATGAAGGGTATTAAAAATATTCAGAACAGGAGCAAAAAAATTATCGTAAATCTTTGAAATTAGTAATTATAAACAATGTTAATCCAATTCAATAAAACGAAATAAATTGATTTGTAGTATTTGGCACAGTCTTTGTTACAGCTCCTGAGCACAATCACCCCCGAGCAACCGGAGCGCACACAAAAGTAGCAATGAGGATGTGTTCGGGATTAGCCCCGCTTCGGGAGCGGAGATCTAGACCACGCAAGGGTGCCGTGGCGGTTTTTTATGAAGTATTTATGTCATATTTGAATGATGCTTACGCGCCCAAGAATTTAACGCAGCGGAAGGAACATCAACAAGAAGAAGAGGACATTTCACAACCATTCACCCTGAAGAAAAGCGGTCCCCGCTTGAAACGTCGGTGCAGTAAAGAAAGGCCTTTCCTGGATCTCCTCCACTTTCGTTTTACGTCCAACCGGCCCGTTGAACCTTCTTACCGTATATATATATATATATATATATATATATATATATATATATATATATATATATATATATATATATATATATATGTATATAATACATAGTTTATAAATGTTTATAGCACAAAAATTCAGAGACATTGTCAAATTGTTAATTGAGCTTACAAGCAGTGTTCCCGCAAGCACTTAAACCTATTTATCTGAACGCACTGTTAGTTAGCTAAAGTAGTGAGCATTTTGGAAACAAATATAAGCGTATTTTTTTTAACGCATAAATGAGCGTCGCCCCACCGAACGCCTCCACGTTTCTGCAGACATGTAGTGTTAGCATTTGGTACCACACACCAGTTTCATAACTTCAAAGTTAACTTATAATTCAGATCGAATAAGCAGTTTTATATTACCTTCAATGATATAATAGGGTCCGTTCCCGCGGCAGCGCACACCCCTGCGAAGCGGGCTCGCCGAGCCCGCTTCGCCCTAGCCTCTGTCGCACGCAGACCCGCGTCGGCTTGGCGCTCTTTGAGCCGTATTTGGGTCAGCCGAGCTAGGCCCTGCTTCCGCTCCTCCATCTCGTTTGCCCGCCTTGCACGCTTAGCAGTGGCATGCGCTACCTGACACTGCTTTCGCTCTTCACCGGTTTTTAAGGCGCGCATTGGTTCCCGCCCCGTGACGTCGCCTCCCTGTCGCCTTTGTCTTTCCCTCCTCTCCTCCTCTCTACGCGGCGCGCTTCCTTTTCCATTTGTTTTGTTCGCGGGTAGGTACTAATTCCAGCGCATTAATAATTAATGACAAGAGCGATAACAACTCGCATTGTTTGGGATAAGCTACCTAATAACGTTTTGTTTTCTTTCGTCTATTTCAATTACACGTAAAAAGTGTGTAATGAGATAGGAGAAAATTTCTGACTTCTTGGCACACTGTCCGAAGGCGACACCATTCAGATGTGTGATGTTTTGTCGTTGGGCTATTTTGATATTTGATTGTTTTGACGGCTGCGGTTTCGATGTTTACTCAATTTTCACTATGCTTTTTTTACGTCGTGCTGTTTTGTCGCGTGCTGTTTTTTCTTTTTTTTTGCCAGAGATATGCTTGCAAGCAGCTCAAGCAAGCAAAACAGCCAAGGTGTTTGACTCCGGCAATGGCAATGTACGTCTGGCTTAGCATAATTGTTACGGACGCTTTAATATCTGTACATATTACCATACAGAATACCTCAGTGATACTGACAGTGGGGGCGAATGTGCGACAAAAACATCAAAATGCTGTTCCGTGCAAAACCAAAAAATGGCCTCCCCCATAATTTTCCTGGAAATTTTTATCACTTATTACGTGTCGACAGAACGATATCGCGCACGACGTCTAGTAGAATAACAACATCAAATAGGACGCATTGATGACGTTGAAGTGTCAACTCCACATGTAGAATTTAAAACGCACAATCACAGAATGCAGACGCAAACATTGAAACAGTATGTACAAAGATTCATGAAACACAAATTAGCGAGGAAACAATACCTTTTACATGCTGACCGAGGAAATTATATGCCAGTTCATACTGGCTGTTCGGAAGAACCTTGGTGGCTTCTCCTTTGATGGAAGCAGCGCAGCTGCGATTCCTGAGGGGTTAACATTATACAAGTTAAGGTATGTTCCCGACGCGACCTTTTCGTGATGGTATTCAATACAAACAAATTTATTTTATTATTTACAAAAAAAGACGTATTGACGTTTGGCATTACTTTAAGGTAAATTATTAAAGCAAAAGAAAAAGAAGTTTTTGCACATATTTGGAATACTACAAAACGTTACTTACAAACGCATTAGTACATATAGTCGTAGTGGAGTCGCATAAAAGCGGTTCACACAAACGCGAAGTGTCGTAATATCGCATGGCTGATGTGCATGATTTTTACGGGTGGGACGACATGATAACCGAAGCACAGCTTTCACTAAATAATATGGCATTTTAACTGGACCCGATCACTTTTGTTTTTGCAATAAATAGAGGGAGTTAGTTTTCTCAATAAACCACGGACAAGTCAGGGCGGTGCGTTAAACAAAATCTCGCGTCGGAAATAGTTTATCTTTTTAGATTCATAAGGCTTTTCACCTACTCATAGAGAAAGTGTCAAAATTGGTGACCAAATCCAAATCTGCTTCACAGAAATGTTGATTAATCTAGGGTTTCTTGCTTGGTATAACTGAGCACTGAACAAAGAGAAGATATTATAAGCGAAACACCGCTTTACTGAGATTCTTGAGATTTGAACATCAGCGCTATTAATTCTAATATTGACAACAGGCATGATTTTACAATTTTTAGAAAAGCGTACGGATAATCGATGATGCAGAGTACGCAAGTCTTCAGCACCATAATTCAAAAAACGGAGTGCCAATCTTGTTTCGCATTGAATCGGATGCCTTTAAAAAGGGAGCAGATAGCAATTATTAAAAAAAACTTATCCGAGCTTTCGCTCTATGGCCTTTGTCAAGTCTTCACATTGGGAATGTTTCAGCCTCAGTTATAAACGTGGTCTGACGCGAGCACGGTGCTTAAGTATGCATGCACATGACAGGCTCAATATTACAATTAGATTCTTTAAAGACTGTTTGAAAACGGATTTAGTTTATATATAATTTTTTCATATTATGGTTTTCTAAAGTTAATTAAGAATTAAAACTGACTTTTAACAAAGCGGCAGTATAAATTGATAAATATATGAGCCTATTTTAATATATACGCCATTTAGTATAGGAATGTGAAAATGTAAGAGAAATCTGCCTTACGGGTTTCATTTTCTTGAGTTGTTTATTAAATCTTCGTAATAAAGCTGAGAGTCACAGTGAAACGTATGCTCGAAACACCAATTTTGAATTGTCTAATTTTGGAGCAACTCCCTGTCACTTTTTTTGGCTCTGTGAATAATATACATTGTAACAATATTTTTTTGTTCTTATTGTGAAAATTGTTTTATCAAAAGCGTGTCTGGTGGAATATATTTACGAAAAACGGGATTTTGTTAAGCATTTGACCTTCGAATTACGCGACCAGCATCCAGTATACCGGAATGCTTAATCTCACCGTGCCAGTTCAGAAACCTTTACCTCCAGAATCCCTTCAAAACAAACGCAAGGAAAACGAAGGCTCTCAATGATTATTCAACAAAAAAAAAAACTTAAAATATTTCGGTTCATGATTTGTTTTCAAATCTATTATACCTTTTAGATATAAGAGTCCAACTAAATTATTGCGATAGTCTTCACGCTAAAAACTAAAATCTTCATTTAAATCGTTATTAAGTTGTATATAGGACAAATCCGGCTTAAACAGGGTGGGCGTGTAGTATTACAAATGTTAATGTGTATTGTTACTCTAAATGTACATTTATACCTTTTAGATGTAAGAGTCCAACTAAATTCTTGCGATAGTCTTCACGTTAAACTAAAATCTTCATTGGAATTGTTATTAAGTTGTCTTATATAGGACAAATCAGGCTTACGCAGGGTGGGCGTGTTGTATTACAAATGTTAATGTGTATTGTTACTTTAAATGTACATTTTGCAAAAAGGGGTTTTGATCAAAGATATTTAAATCAAGCGAAACGAATACGTTTCAGACGACCCGATGTTTGGCACAAAGAAAATTCATCGACAAACAGTTGCCAATGTGACCTTTATATTAGTAGCGTGCGAAATATACTGCATTCGAAATTAAGAAATATAATCTTTCTAGTGGAGATTAGCTGAGGCCATGTCTTGAGGATATGCCAGGTCTCAAATCTCTTCATGTTCCAAGAGTCAGTCGAATGGTAAGACCGGCAGGGCGTCATTTACAAACGCACGTCGTCCAAAACGCATTCGTCGTCTTTCGCCGTGCTTTAGCTGTGGATGCACGCTCGAGACTGACAAGGATTTCCGAAGCGTTTATCAAACGCCATCGAACATAAAAATCTCGCGCTGCGGGCGGGCAGCTGAAACTCCTCCCTGCCCTTACCCGGTACTTTCCTTATCCTTATCCTTGTCCTTATCTTTATCCTTATACTTATCTTTCTTTCCTTATCGTTATCCTTGTCCCTTACCCTGTTAGCTAGACTACTCTCTGTTGCTCACCCTATGAATGCAGCATGGTAGTCAAACTTGTTTTCGGAGAAGTTGAATCTCCACCTTCCCCGCAACGCGGAAACAGGACTCTGAGTCTTTCGAATTTCTCGCCAGTCTCCTGAAAGCTGGGACAACAACCACTCGTGAAACGCGCAAAGGGGCCACAGCTTCGCGCATGATTAAACACATCCTCGATGTAAGTGAAATTGTAAACAACAAACTGTTTTTGTTCTGTTTTATTTTGGGATATTGTTAGGGGAGGTCAACGGCCAAGCGTTCTAGCGCACCGCAGCTTGGGGCACGTGGAGCAGAAGCGGGCGCTGCTTAACCCAGGGATCCTTTGTTCAATGCCGACCCCTGCCCGTTTCAACCTGCAGATAAACATCGTACCAACGTGTGGTCGTGTATCCCTCCTGCCTGATGCAAGTCAAAGAACCAGGCTAGGGCGCGTACTGCGCTGGCTGAATTCGTCATCTACAGGGAGACACGAGACGCATATTCGGGTTTCCTAACTTCCCGGCGTCTAAACATATACACCAGACATATTATTTTTAATAATGCGCTTTTAGAATGTGAGTTTTTTCAAGTGCTAAGCGGATACGTTTCTTTGATAAGCAAAGAGCGAGGACAATATTAAATTATTGGGAGGACGTCCTAAGAAACGTGAGCAGCCTAATTCGTATCGGAAAATGGTGGCTTGGCGTGTGTCAGATTACATTGAAGAAGACGGGAGCGTTCCCTCGAAACGGCTCTATCAATGGTGTTCCGCTCGTAAACTTTACTTGAGTTTGGGGCTGAGTTTGGGGCTTTGCGTCATCTTTAAGATTGCCCAACTGGCTTACAGAACGGGCGTTGATAGGTTCGTTTTTTACTCTGTGTTTAAACAAAATACTCATCAATCTTCTCAGTGGCAGTATTTTACTTCTTCAGATGTTTCGGAAAATCAATTGGTATTGCAAAAATAGTTGAAAGAAACTACAAAAGAATCCCTCGTCATTTATAGTCAGCCGCGTTCAGCAGTCACTGATTTTGTAGTGATTACTCATTAGATAATAAAATAAGACGATACATAAAAAGTGACAACCACAAAACGAAAGACGAAATGAAAAAGAAAACAATTAGAAGAGAAGATTAGGTCCAACAACGATGGAACTCTTCTTGAACAAACATTACGATATACGGTACCCCGAAGCACCCCCTCACCGAGATGACCCTTGCAGGGGTGCTTGAGCAAAATGTGTTTAAGAACGCTCGCAGGTTTTTCTCAAATACCTATGGGGTAAACTCTTCTCCTCCTAGGGCCTTCAATTTAACGGAAATGGCGAACGCCACGGCCCCTGGATGACGTAAGCGACGAGTCCACATTTTGTGCTCTGTTTATATCACCGCTAAGAATAGTGTACATAGAACTTACCCTTGCGTAATCCAGGTCGCTCACAGGCACAATAGGGAACGGCGAACAGACTAATGTTTCTGTAAAAAACGAAAAAAAAGAAGTCTAAAAATTAAAAAAAAAATAGTTTGGATAGTGAAAAATTGGGCAACTAAAAATTCTCACCCATCACGAATCGGTTGCTCTAACTATACCCTTGATTATGTGCACACATAGTGCACATGATCAAGGGTATAGTTAGAAGAAAAATTATGAAAACAACAACAACAACAACATCAAAAACGTGCCACGGATGTTTTATTCGCATTGTAGACATAGAGAGAACTACAAAGCTTCCCGTTCGCTGGGAGCCGGAACGACGAGAGCCGGTGCCATGAATCATACAGTGTAATTAACTGCAACGTTATGCTCTATTAATATTATTACACTGTGAAGTTTGGTGAACAATCTGCGTTAGTGTTCGGCGTATTTTGTTTGAAGGAACGCGTCAGAATTGTATCACATGGTGATAATAGTGTTAATTAGTGACTCTTGTCAAGAAATAGGTTCGAATAAAGTTATTTGAAATTAATTATTTTTATGTCGCAAAAAAGAGGCCGTCTGCTCGTTTAGAGCAAACCTGATGTACAGGGGTGATGAAATTCACTGGTTAATGATGCACCCTAAGATTTCTCTGTAGGCTCGTAACCGTGTAAATTACTTGGAGATGCGATAGAGTTTCTCGGTTGTAAAATACGATATGAACACCTTTACGCTTTACGCACATTTTGCTGTAGTTTAGTGTGGCAGAGTACGAGGGTGGCGTTCCCGGAGCTCATGCAGAACGAAACGCTAGACGGCAGCAGTGTGCGAAAGCCCTACCTACAAGAAGCGTATTTTCCTCTTATTGAGAAGCGCATTGGCGTGTGCCTGTACTCATCGTTAATTCATAGGATAGCGGAGGACTCGCTTGTAATGGCACGTGTTCCGCTCTTCTTTAAACGTGGACAAGACACGAGTGAACCTGAAACGTCCATCGAACAGCCGCGCACTACATTTCATGGGGTGAAATGCTCGTCTAGCGATGAAAAATGAAATCTAGCTCGTAGCGGAAATTTTCGACTTGCGTGAGCGATATAAAACGGGTCGTCTAGCTGTCTTCAGAAATGCTTTTATTTTTTTTTACCACAAAACATATTTAATTATATGTAATGTGGTTTCTTGGTGTGAATGATCAAGGTTATGAAACAGGGATCTCCAGATGTTGTTGGCTAAGTGGCCGGATCTGGGATTTTTCGTTGTCTCGAGGGCGGGTAAATGAATTTTTACAACGATGGAAGACTAAATTAATTATGCTAGATATCCGAATAAATATAAAATGAAAATTAGGGTGAAAAAATCAAAGGTGCATGAATACTTTCATTTTACGTTATAATGACACACAATAATTTAGAACCGGAAAACCGAAGACGCATAAATCAAAGCGCATAGAAGCTTTCAGATGTTCACACAGGTCAGAAGCCTGGTGAAAATGATAGAAATGTGGTTAACAGTATGCAGTATATAAGACAACGGACTGGAAGCACAATACACATGGGAACGCAAAGGGATCTTGCCAACACGTAGTTACGGAGATATAAAACAGAACTAAGAATGGTGATGCTGGCGATGAAACTGTCCACTGAGTGATATGACGAGAGGACACGCCTTACTATAAGCAGTTTTCTCTATATTTTTGTTTTTTGTATCTTCGTTTATGTTGGGGCATTGATTCATTACGTGCGCTTTTGCGCCAGTACAATCTGAAAGCAATCTGGTCGCAAAGAAACTTTTCGGGGCTCTTCGGCTTGTCCATAATTTGCACCCTAAAAATCTCTTTTAAGCACCCCCTAAAATGGTTCTTCGTGGAAAATCTGTAAGAAATTCTTTTAAGCCCTATCTATGATGAGAGTTCTTCATCGCCCAGTTGCCTTTCTAGTGCGCCAGGGAGCGATAGTGCTTGAGGCGAAACCGTCCTTCACGAATTAAAGGAGTTCATGGGGTATCGAAAAACCGTTCAAGAACGTATTTTTGGGAGTGTAGCTGCGGCCTTGCTGGAAGCGGGCATCGGGCCAGGCTTCATTGAAAGGATCGCGGTCAGCAACGAGCGGGTTGGAAGACCTCCATTGACTGAATTTTGTCCGCGGGTGAGGGTTTGGAAATTCCTGTCATAAAATAAAGATAATCTTTACACGGAGTTGAACAGCAGATATAATAAGGTTGATCATGAGTAAGTGAGTATTGGGAGCGCACATCCGACACTCTAAGAAAACAAGAAGAAAAAGGTAGGAACTGTGGGTTTTCCTTTCTTCTACTGACGCGCCCCCAACGGACAGAAGAAGGGAGGAACGAGACATTTTTCTACCTCTCCAAGCAGACGGGAGGAAAGGTCCGCCCTCCAGCCTCATCTACTTTTGGTTTCGTTTTCCGGGAACGTCGCACGCAATGTTTAGTAAAGAATATTTTGCTGATTCTGAGTCAGCGGCAGCGAAGGCCTCCTGTAGTTCAGTCTCTTAATCCAAACACGCAGAGCATCTTGGTTGCATTGAAGTTTTTAGCACTTGCTCTGTCAAACGAGCAAAACGAAGCCGTTAGAAACAGCGAAGTTCTGGAGTAGTGCTACGTACACTGGGCTAAATGGCCGTCTTCGAAACTCGCAATTCAACTCCGCAACGACTGGGCAAGGGCATATGGGAGCTTTGTGTCTCGTAGAGGCGGACTTTTCTGCCGTGTGCCTACACGTCTTTTGTGCTACTACGATCGGTTCTGTTTCCTGTTACCCAGAGCCAACGTTGCCGAGTGACAATCGACGATCGCCGTGGTTTTGCATTTCCGCGTATCTCCAACATTGCCATGACAGTGTAGTGCGTTGTGGACAAAGATAGAATCGTCGCTGTCGTCATCTGGTGTTTCCCGTACCAGTGGTATAACAGCAAGATGAGATCACGCTTACCGTTACGGGTTGGTTTTCTGCTTTACAATAAGGTGTTTAAGAAAACCGCTTGGGAGTGTTTGAGCGCTGGTCTGAGCCGTAGCTCCAAACGTACGGCCAACAAACGGTTGTCTCAGCTATGTCCTGGTGTCTGCTCTACGACAGCGATTGCGCTCTCGGGAAAGGTCTCAACAAGCCTAAAATATGACGGCAAGTACTCATATTCATACCTTGGTACATTGCAATTACGCAAAATCGAACTTAAAGGCCGATGTTGTGCTACGTAAATTTGCGCTGTGTTATAGCTGGTTAGTTCTCGGTCACAAGTCGAGAGTCGACTTGTGACCGAGAACCTTGGTTTCTAACTCGCCAAAGCTTAGCTAGCCGCACAAAACCCCTGCCGCAAATTGCGGCTTTGCCCGCACTCAGGTTGGTCGAAAAGTGATTTTTCTGCCTGTGAAGCATCGCTTTCAGCTGAGTAAATACCCCATTTACAGACATTATGTCAAGACGACCATTGCAGCAGCATATGAATATCACAAAGAAAAAAAGCAAATATTCGATAGAAAAACGCTCTTTTGCACCTTTCTATGATGTGTTTTGGAGGAGCGAACTAATGACTGCTAAGAACCTCAGCTGAGCGCGGAATATTATCGGCTGTCGTAAATAATCACGGCATGAACGTCTACTGTTTACTAAGAGATTCATACCTTGGGTTGTATCAAATGCCTTCTGTGCAATGACCATACTGGGAAAAAATCAACAAACTTGGAACAATGTGTATTTCTTAGGTGATCACCGAAAAAAATTCGTACCTTCAAAACGACGAGTGTAAAAGGCCGAAGCGCAGTGTACGCATTCAGTGCTTAGATCAATGTGGGTTCATGTCGGTGTTTTTATGCCCTGTGTAATATAAAGGTGCTGGAAGCGTAATGGCGGCGAGAGCAAGCAAAGTTATTTTTCCATCCTTTGAATTGGACGGTACCTAGCGCCACTTATAGTAGCTGTTTGCAGCTACTCTGCGTGACCCTGCCATCTGGTGGCGAGCCATTTAAGCCTCTTTCACGTGTCTCAATATTATGCAGTTGCCGTGCACGGTGCAATGATACCTGTAGGCTGCTTTGAATTAGCTCTTGTGAGAGCGGTTTTTGGTTTCGCGAATGGTTTACCCCTTCGTGACGTGCGGTGTTGACGAAGGATATATGGCTCGATGAATATTAAAGGTGAGATGTGAAGTGCTCGAAGTGGACCGGATTCGGTTGTATCCGTGTGACTTCAAGGTGTTGACAGCGAGATGCCTGAGTAGCTGCGTTCAAAACGCAAGTTTCCTTACCTGTGCGGGAAGCTGGCTTCGGAAGTAAGTACAGTTTGGGATGGATGAGCATCGTACCGGCGTGTGGTCGTGTATCACTACTGTGTGATGCATGTTAAAGACCCCAGGCTAGCGGTTGTACTGCACTTTCTAAATTTCTCATCTACAGCTGGGAGACTCGTCGCTCGTTGAGGCAGACGAAGTTCTAGGTTCTATAAACATATACACAACACAACTTTTACAGTTGGTGAAAATCTCGTGGCATGTTTTTATTTGCTGCTCCTCTCGTTCCGAACGCAGCGACTTGCTCAGATGCCTGCGAAGCAGCTGCACGAGTACGAAAGTTTCCCTGTTTGTGAATGAACATAGGTTAAAAGATTGTTGCTCCCTTTATGGAGGAATATATGTTCCCTTCGTTTCTGAGAGCGCGACTGAAATAACCGTGCCCTCGCATCTATCTGCAGAAATGCAAGTATCTTAATATCTGGAGTGTGTCACATTTTCTTGTTGGGTAGCAATAGTGTTTTGATACTTTCATTGTTTGCCTAATTCATACATTTTTATCCGACCAAACAAAGTTTAATTCTCTTTATACTCGAAATGCCAAGAACCGCAGATAAATTTTGTTTAAGGAAATATTATAAGAATCGCGTAATAATACAAAAGAGAACAGCGCCTAGTAATTATCGTCCGAAATGTTGGGTTTCGCTTTGCCCGTGCTATGAATTGTTTGTCATGTGAAAAATGGAAGGTTCTAGGGCTGTTTTTTGTTGCGAGTATCAAGTTAGCATGTATATTTGATTGCAAAAAATTAACGTTATGCTCTCTCAGGAATCACTGATTTTAATTAAAACAAGTCACTGTTAATTTAAAAAAAAACTTGTTGCTATTAACTTTTTTTCCGAGCAAAACCGGGAAACACTATTCCTCCCCCCCCCCCCCCCGTCCTTTCCCCTACCCCCAATGTAGCCTCTTGAGCACCCGGCGGTGGGAGATGGGCTTTGGAGGTGGTACCTCTGGTTTAACAATTTAATACATATCAATCTCTTCATAATCACTAATTGTTATCGAAAACATAAATTGAGCTGGTGCGTCGCAACTTTGCAAGCTGAAATTTTCTTCAAGCTATAACGTAATTCTCTTATAATCAGATAGTAAACATATGTATATAAATAATGTTGACAGTGGAAAAAAACACGAAGTCATTAATTTAAAAAAAACGCCAATTTAAAACCTAAGCTTTATGTTTAGTTATCTGGTTTGCAAACGGAAGAGGACGCTTGTTTAGTTGTAGAAGCAACCAGCGAATAGCGATTTCCTTCGAATGTCTCTCTCGTCTGTTTCGAATTGTGTCAGGAGAAAGTAGTTGCCATCTATACCGTCAAATATTTGAGTGCCCATGCATATGTGATGCTCTACTTTTTGTTTATTTTATTCTGAAACAAACACCATCAGTCCACGCCAGAGGCATAGCCAGCGGGGGGGGGGGGGGGGGGGGGGGGGTAGGGCTTCTGGGGCTTCAGCCGCCCCCCCTCCCCTCCAAAATTCAGCCGACCCTATAATATATACTGTCTTTTGACCCCCCTCCCCCTCTCCGCGTCCCAAGTCATGGACATCCCAACCAATCCCCCCTAAAAAAAAAAAAAAAAAAAAAAAAAAAAAAACGAAAAAAATTTTTTTCGCTACATTATTATTTACGTAATTTGTATTGATTCCCAAATCGTGCACATTTAGGAAGATTCTAGTAAAATTTGGACGACATGAATAAAAAGAAAGCCGATCATGCAGACCACAAATAATGGTCAGATATGTATCTTCCGCATGTTATTTTCCAGGAATAATCATAGCAAAATTCAGAGGGACTACAAAACATGCCAATTAAACTTGCAGCCCATATCTGCCACGCCTTTTATAGGCCAAAAAGCGGTGATATCAATACTAGCTTTAGCAGTCGTGGCTGATTGTTCGTTCATAAAGCCAAACGAGGCCACTTTGCACGAGAAATCATCGAATTACTCACCCGCGCTTCCTGCGTGACATCCAACGAGCACCCCAATTGCACCAACGGTAGGCCACAGTAGTCTCGAGGAGCTTCGGCAGGAAACCATGTTTATGCGACCGGCACGGTTGCTGGCTCGAAGCAAAAGCTACAGTACACCACTGCGTCACCGCGTCGCGCTGCTTTTCCGGCACCTGGCTGTTGCAGGAGTGCCGCTGGACTTTGCTCACCGGCGCTCCGATAACCCGCGGCGTTCCCTCGGAGTGAGTGTGTTACTGATAGGAGAGCTTCCCTCAGTTATACGCCTATGCCTCAACAGCAGGCGAAAACGCATGCGTGCATCACCCACTCTGCCTCTTTAACCTTTGCATATGTACATACCCTACGCCTTTAAGAACGTGGCCGTTAATTTGCCTACAGTTATCTTATAATATCTAACAACTGCGGAAGTTTTAAATTGTTGTACAAGCAGCAGAACTTGGAAATACGGATGAAGTTTTGTTGCATATAATTAAAATACATAAACGTTTCGTAATTTAGTGTCATTTAGGGTTTGCAATAATTTTATTAAATGAATTCATTATAACCTTAAAGATCGCACAAGCCTTTACACTAGGAGACGCAAATAAAAGACAAAAAATCGAAAATCATACCACTTGAAAATTCAGTTTGCTATGTTGCCATATGAAGAGCTAATTTAATGGAACATTTTGATCGTAGACTCGGTAGGGCTGATTAGGCTTGAGGTTTTCAGATGGCGAGATATTGCCGTTCTACGCCTCTCCATTTCTTGACCTTGCTTTTATAGGACCAGCATTAGGGATTTCCGGTCCGTGGATATAGCCTCAATAACGTCACAGTGACACGTAAGATTGAAGACTTGTACGTAATTCTACTACTCTACTCAAGTTACTGTAGTTTAACTACTTTTCTGAGAAGTTTAGTAACTTTCAATTAGTTTTTATTTCGGTAATTAGTAGTTTGCTTTAATTACTTTTTCCGAGTAATTTCTACTGAAAGTACAAATTACTTGCCATTTTTAGTGGCAGGTTTGTTTGTTTACCAACAAACATTCCTGCACAATAAGATATATGATCTTGGAAGATTAGCTCATTTTCGCAAAAAGTGGGAAGCATGTGGCGTAGGCAGGGGGGGGGCGGGGGGGGGGGGGGGAAGGATGGTTTGGAGGGTCCGAAACCCCTAAAATTTTCACGACCCCTCACTGCAACAACACTGCTACGAGGCGCGGGGAGCAGACATACATTTCGCGAGTGAGACCCAGTAACTGCGGGAGAAAAGCCGAAGGCTGGCGTTTCTTTGTGTCCCGAAGCTGAAGGAGACTTGACGCATTTGAAGAAAGGGCTTGTCCTCGCTTCTTTCCGACGCAGGCACTCTCGCACACTAGAGGAAGTGTACACATGCATCCTCACTCAGAGGAAACAATAAAATGCAGCACCCGCTCTGATGCTCACCTGGTGCTCTCGTAGTTTGTGCTCTACTTGAAGAATAACGTGCTAAAGGGCAACGTAAAGGCAACCTATTTGCGTTGCCTTTCCTCCCAAAAATCAGAATCTGCAGGTCTTCCAAGATTCGAAGGTCGTTCGAGAAATCTTAATTATTACCCCGCCGTGTTTACAAAAAAAAAATAAATAAAGAGTGTTAGAAAGCACTATGGGTACATGGTACTTAAAGTGCTACTTCAAGTAGGTTTAGGAACTTGTACTTTATTTGAAGTACATTCTCTGATCATGTACTTGTACTGTACTAAAGTATTTTTTCTGGAATTTTCCGTGGACAGTTGAACTCACGACTTAAAAGTACATTCCCCAAATTTAGAAAAAAAAATGGCGTATCATCATGTGAAAACATGCTATCGGCTTTGGAGACGTCATCTGGTCATTTCGCCGAGCTAAGTAATGGAGACTGTAACACCAAAAGAAATAAGTGCCTACAAGTTGATTGTGTTAAATAGTCTGTCCAGCGAGAGTAAAGCAACTACTCTGTGGCGATATGACTTCATCCAAAGCGGAGAGCAAGTCGCCTGCTTCTTGCACAGGACTTGTGGGGCCGTCAGAACGGCGCAGAGCTCTGATTGGCTCTAATTGAAGGATACTGGGTAGACCTCAAAGCAAGCTGCCTTGAGGTCTACCCACTATCCTTCGTTCAGAACCTATCAGAGCTCGGTGTTCTGACGCCACCACAACCACTGCGAAAGAAGTTGACGAAATTGCCCTCCGCATATTTCCCGCTATTCCCGAAAAAAAAAGAGAAAAACAAACAAACGACTGATGCACCTCAGAATACCCCTGGAGAAATGCATAGCAGTTAAAACAAAACAAAAAACCTAAAAAAACTGTATAGGAAATTAAAGGGCACCGTGAAAGATTGTGTTAAAATGTACTTGTACTTTACATTGAACGGTACACTATATTTATAGAACTTTACTTCAAGTACGTTGCACCGAGTTTACTTACTATTGAACTGCAAACACCGGCAGTCTGAAAAAATATAAACCCAGTTTTTTGCACCGCAAAAAAAAAAAAAAAACAACACAACAACTAGACTTTGCGGAGAGTTCTTACTCCCTCAAATTGCAGCACCAGCGGATCGAACAAGATGCCAAAGCTTCAGCACCAACCGTTATCTTATTCAAAAGTTATAAATTATTTTCTGAAAACTTGATTGAAAAATTAGCGGCCGACGGAGCTTTCGAATACATGGCGCTCTAAGACGCCAGAAACCAAAAACGGGCAAAAATTGGCCCCAGTTCACCATAAAAAATTCTGAAAATCACTTATTATAACTTTTGAATAAGGTAACGGTTGGTGCTGGAATTTTGGCATCTTGCTCAAACGACTGGGGCTATGTTCTGACGGAGTTTGAGCTCTTCGCGAAGACTAGTTAATTTTTGCGGTGCGAAAAACAGGGTTCGGATTTCTCAAAGGCACCCAATACAAAACCTCTCATTGACTTTGTACTTTACTTCAAGTACTTGTGAGATGTACTTTACGCAGAAACACTGTCTGCAAAGTCAATCTCATGTAGTGCTAAACCTCAAAGTAGAAGTGATAGATCCGCAGCACATCGTTGGCCAAAAAACAAAACAAAGTAGCAAAACCATAAGGCACGCCGAGGTAGAACCAGTTTTGAAAGCATATCTGTAAAAGTTCAAGCAGCTCTATATTTGGCTAGCAAAATTTCGCTAACAGATAGAAACCTATATACTTTCTTGTTACCATAAAAAATATAAAAGTAACTTCAAAAGTAATTCGCTTCTTTTTTAGGGTACTTAGTGATTTACTAAATTAATTTCCATTTGAGGAATTTCTACTCTACTCAAATTACTTTTAAAGCCAATACTCAATAACTTAATTACATTTTTGAGTAACTTCTACATGTCTGTAAGATTGTGCTATCATCCCAAAGACGCCATGAAAGCATATTATTTAGGTATCCTGTGAAGTCACGTGACACCATGGAGTCAGATGACGATTTGACGTCATGGTATCGGATGACTGGACCTGACACCACATTACCCGGTCACGTGACTTCAGGTGACACTACGACAAAACATCGTCATGTCAAATCACGAGACATTACGACGTTAGGTTACTACATGACGTGACATTGTGCCATCCCGTGACGTGATACCATGACGCGACAACAGCACGTCATTGCGACGTCACGTGACAGCATGACACACATGACACGGGGACATTACGTGAAACCATGAGTTCGCAACACCGCGTCATCGTACTGTCACGAGACATAATGTCACGTGGTCAGGTCACGTCAGGTGACACAATGACGTGGCATCTTCACGCCACGTGACATAACGCTATGGCTTAACGTCTCGCGGAGACGTCACGTGACTGACACCGTGCTCTGAAGTGACAGAATGAGGTCACCAGGCACTGCAACTTCACGGTGTGAGGTACCGATATCTGACGTCAAGTCACGTAGTCACGTGACGGCACACGACACCGTGCGCGGCATCGTAACGCTTAGTCGCATGACATGCTGGCGTCACGTGATACTGTTGCGTCTGGTGACACCATGATGTGACATGGTGATGTCACGTGGCATGATGATGCTGATACTTAGCGAGTGTGACCGCGCAGTCAGGCCGCTCATGAATCGTACCAAAGACACGGTGTTCGCTGAGGCCACGAAGAGACCTGCGGACACACCTTAGGCATGTGCGAAGCATGCTTGCTTCAGACATACGTGTGTCTGCTTGGAACACATCTAAAGACAGTTGATGTATGAGAAATCTGAACGGCCGTCATACAGGAAGTAAACGCACCTCGGATCATAATGAATTTAACCCGAGACTGGGACAAAACGAAGACATTTTTTTTAAAGTGGAAGAGAAAGTAAAAGAGGCACAAAGAGTCTCTACGAGCTGGTGGACGTTTATTATGATGATGTTAACCCGAAACTGGAACAGAACGAGGACATTTTTGTTTGTGGAAGAGAAAGTAACAGTGACAGAAAGAGTTTCTAGAGCTGGTGGACATTTACTATGATGATTTTAAGTAAAGTCATGGTTGGAACGAGGACATCTTTTAGAGTGGGAGAGAAAGTAACACGGACAAAAAGAGTCTCTACGAGCTGGTGGACGTTTACCATGATGATTTTAACCCGGGACTGGGACAGAAGGTGGACATTTTTTAGAGTGGAAGAGAAAGTAAAAGGGACAGAAACAGTCTCTACGAGCTGGTGGACGTTTACCATGAGGATTTTAACCCGAGATTGGGACAGAACATGGATATTCTTTTAGAGTGGAAGAGAAAGTAACAGGGACAGGAAGAGTCTGCAGCTGGTAGACATTTACTATGATGATTTCTACCCGAGACTGGAAAAGAACGTGGACATTTGTTTAGAGTGGAAGAGAAAGTAACAGGGACAGGAAGAGTCTCTACGAGCTGGTGGACATTTACCATGATGATTTTAGCCAAAGTCAGGGACAGAACGTGGAAATTTTTCAGAGTGGAAGAGAAAGTAAATGGGACAGAAAGAGTCTCTGCGATCTAGTGGACGTTTACCATGATGATTTTAACCCGTGACTGGGACAGAACGGGCGCATTTGTTTAGAGTGGAAGAGAAAGCAACAGGGACAGAAAGAGTCTGTACGAGCTGGTGGAAGCTTATCATGATGATTTTAACCAGAAACTGCGGCCGAAGGAGCCCTTTTTTTGGAGTGGAAGA